TTCCATTACATGTCATGCATGTAGGTTTCTAAATTATCTGTATGTACACTCTTTAGGAGAATGGACATTTTCTTTAGCTTAGTAATGGGATAGCAGTCAGTGGGAAGATAGATGCTGTGACACAGTGATGGAAATATAGAGAAAGAGCTGTTGAAGAAAAAAAGGAAAGAGGAAGGCAGTGTGGTTCAAGCTAGCTGCTCAGTGCATTTCGTTCCTCAGTAAGGTGCATTTAACTCTAATGGCCTTCCAGATTGATGGAACCTGGTTTGTTGGGACCCACCACACTGTAATAACTGGATCAATTTATTCTCCCTTTTAAGTCCTGCCATTGGTTGGGAGAGGCATTGTGCTAATGATCATACTATTCCACAGCCACGTATCAATCTCTCATTGTTTCTGGTTCTGGGCTCTTTGGTAGGGCAAGATGGCTTCTGTAAGCCAAATGATTTTGTTGGAAAGTAATGATAGCTCTATTGATTGCCTGCTTGGGGGTTCTTAGATTACCTTAAATTTTAATGATTTACATTTATTTCTAAATGTCCAACATTTTCCTCCAATTTTACGTTCCTTCAGAAGTGTTTAGATGTTCAGGTGATTTGGATTTGGGAAGTGGTGGTAACTGTTACACATTGTGGTAATGTGGCTATTGTTTTGTGATTTATGAGTGTTTTTTCTTTTCATGTGTAGGAGAGCATACTTAGTCCTTCCTCCTCCCTTTCCTTTAAAAAAATATTTTTATTTCCTGTGCATTACTGTTTTGCCAATGTGTATCTGTGTGAGGATGTTGAATCCCCTGGAACTAGAGTTATAGACAGTTGTGAGCTGCTGTGTGGGTGCTGGGAGCGGTAGTGCTCCTAGCCACTGAGCCATCTCTCCAGCCTCCCTCCTCCCTTTCAAGTAAATGTTTCTTTAAAGAGTATATTTGCTTTTGAAGTGGTCCAGTAAACATTAAACTTCTACTCCGTTGAAACCAGCACTCCTGGTCCTTACTCAATTCTGTCTTTCCACAGCCCACCAGAACCAGGGAGATGAGGGCATGGAGATTGGGGCAGCATAGTTTAGGAGTGCAGTCCCAGGGCCCTTCCACACAGGAAGAGGCCCTTGCTTGGACCATTCATGCCCCATCCTCGATCCCAGCCCCCATTGAGAGAGAGTGATGGCAGCCTGAGAGAGAAAGGAAGATGCAGAGACAGATTTAGTTTGTTTCCCAGGCTGTTGTGAATGCTTCAGTTCATGTTATCCTGCCTTAGCCTTCCTGTAGTTAGAAGCGTTCCTGGCTCTTCAACTGATTTTATAGCTCATGGTGGGAAACATTTTTTTTCATTTTTGTTACTATACAAACTGTTTAAAGGATGCCCTGGCATCCTGTGGTTTGTTCTGATTGCTTAAATTCTTCAATGAAGGGAGGCCCTTTCAGAAGAATTTAATCTGTGGTAAAGGATAAAGAACAGAAAGCAAAGTTTTACTCTGCCTGGGAAGTTCAGGAGGGTCTCAGTGTGCTATTTCATGAATGGGGCGTGCTGGGACGTGTTTGATTCTTTCTGCTTTCTTCCGCTGCTGCCTTTGCAGGCACCCTATTTTCTGGAATGTAATCTTACTCTGGCCTTTCTGTGTGTCTGAATACTGCATGGTGTAGAGGAGTCCAGGCTCTGGAGCCAGACAGCTTGGGTTTGAATTGTGTCTCCACTGTTTATTAGCTGTATGCTTCTGGGCAAGATACAGAATAGCTCTGTCTTAATTTGCTCATCTAATAAATTGAAAATAGCACATATTTATGTACAAAAAGTATAAGCTGTTATTGTCTCATCTAGTAGGTGGACAGCCTGCTTCAGATTTGTCTGTGATGGGTCAGTTTGCATGTATAAAGAATGGATTCCAACTGCTTACCATTAAAAAGCTTCTAAATGCCAATTGCCTGAATGTTTTGAATTGTTAAATATGTAAATCTATTGAGTGACCACAGACATTGTTTTTGCTTGAATGATGGTTTGCTTTTTAAAAAGCTGTCATTTACTGATGCTTTAGACTTTGTAGTTGTAAGCATTCTCATGTGAATAATCTAGTTTGGGGGTTTGTTAAATGTGTGGTATCAAAATTTGGATTAATTTTAAAAATCCCCAGAAGATTTAACCTTTAGCTAATGTTACATGAGCAAGCCCCTTCCCTCCTTCCAGCATCAAAACTCCCATTCAATTCTATTGTGTCGTGTAGACTGGTTAATGCTGTGGAGTCCTTCTTGAGTAGCACAGAGGCCATGTGGTGTGACTGGAGACCCAAGCACTCTTCCTAGCTGCAGAGCTCAGCAGGAAATATCAATAGTCTCTCTCTCTCTCTCTCTCTCTCTCTCTCTCAGTCTCTCTCTCTCCCTCCCTCTCTCTCTCTCTCTCTCTTTTAAATAGAAGAGACTACCACCTGCTTACCTCTAAATTTATTCTCAGTATTAATGAATCATTCACTTGGATGATGGCAGTGAGTCTATCCTGATTGTGTCAGTTATCTATTGTTGTGACAGAACACCACGACTAAGGCAGCTTATAGAAGATAGCAATTATAGGGGCTTACAGTTCGAGAGGGTGAGTCAGTAACCATCATAGCAGAGAGCATGGCGGCAGGCAGGCATGGCATGGCATGGCATGGCCTGGCATGGTAACTGGAGCAGTGCGCTTACATATTTATTTGTAAGTAGGAGGCAGAGAGAAAGAGCTAACTGAGAATAGTTCGGGTTTTATTTAAAACCTCAAGGCGCACCTCCAGTGACACACCTTCTTCAAGTAGGCCACACCTCCAAAATATTTCTGAACAATTCCACCAACTAGGACTAAACATTCAAATAGATGAGCTTCTTCTGGAGGCCATCCTTAATCAAACCACTACACTGATCTTAATTCTCATTGCTTTCCAAGGGAGGCTGCAGTATAGGGGTGGGAGTGGATAGAAAGACAGGCAGAAATGGGAGAGGAAGTAGAGTAGCCAGCTGTAGATCACATTTCTTCTTAGCTGGAGAATTTCTTCCTTTGACTTTGTATTGATTCTTTGTGAATTTCATATCATCCATCCCTTTGTATCCATCCTCTGCCGTTGCATCTTCCCCCCACAATAAGATTAGATAGAATAATACATAAAAAAAAAAAAATCTTGTCATTGAGGCTATAGTGTGTCCCACAGTATACCCTTTTGTACACACATCTTTACTTGCAAATGTTCACTGCAATGAGTCATCGATCTGTTTTGAGGCCTCTGCCTTCTGCTACACTATTTATATTGGATCCTCATGGTGCCTCTATTAGGATATCCTATTGTTACCCCGTGTCATAGAGATCTGGCAGCTTTGGATCTGCAGTGCCTGCCCTTTTATGTTCCAGCCGATCATAGATGGGGTGGACCAACTCAAAGCCCTGGATCTGGACCTGGGTCCAGGTCTCTCCTTCCACCTTGTGGATCCCCGGGGTCAGATGCAGGCAGTCAGGCTTGGTAATAAGCACCTTTCACTGCTTAACTCTCATGACACCACCAAAACTCCTTTTTTTTTTTTTTAGAGAGTCTCATGTAACGTGTGCTGGCTTCAAACTTGAGGATGCTCTTGAACTCTTGGTCGTTACTGCTTCCACCTCCTAGGGCAGGGATTTCCAGCCAGTGTCACCGTGTGTGGTTTTATGCCATGCTGGGGATTGAAGCAAGGACCTAGTTAATAGCTAGGCAAGAGTTCTACCACCTAAGCTGTATCCCCGTCCTAGTCTGCTGTTTGTTTGAGAAGAGAACACATGCCTATTCTGAGAACATTTAACAATTTTAAAGTTATATTTATTATTTTTTTTGTCCTTGCATGTATGTGTGGGTGCATGCATGCTATAGCACACATGTAGAGATCAGAAGGCAGCTTGTAGAGAGCACGTTCCACCATATGGGCTCCAAGGACTAAACTAAGATTGTCAGGCTGGTGGAAAATGCCTTTCCCTGGCTAGCATTTTGCTAGCCATCTAAGAACATTTTAATGAAGGTGTTAGTGGGTTTTTCTTACTTCTAAAGAAGAACATGGGTCAAAAGATGTATATCCAAGTGAAACTTTTTCTTATATTACCACTTCTGATGTGTTCTTTTTGTGTGTCTGCTTGCTAGAGTGTATGTGTGTGTGTATGTGTGTGTATGTGTGCTTACACACACACTCATGCAGGTACAGGCCAGAAGTCAACTTTGGGTTCATTCCTCAGAAGTTGCTCACTTTGTTGTTTGAGACAGGATCCAGGGCTTACCAACAGGCCAGGCGGAATGGCTTGCAAACCCCAGGGACACTCATGCCTCTCTGCCTCCCCAGCAATGGGGTTACAGATGCACACTGTCATGCCTGGCTTCTCTGAGATGGGGATGGAACCTGGGTCCTCATGCTTGCGTGGTAAGCACGTTACCAACCGAGCGATCTCCCAAGCATTGGTGCTATTGTTGTCATTGTTTCATTTTGTTGGTTTTCGAAGCCTTTTTTTTTTTTTGTTTTGGACAAAGCAACTTCATGGAGCCCAAATCTAAATAAAACAAAACCAGAACAAACAAAAAACAAAGCCCACAAGCAGCCATTGCTCTAAACACCAAGGATGTCAGTATGAAATGAGTAAACTGACATTTCTGCTTTGAAATCTTTTAGTAAATGAATTTAAACTAACTGAAAACTTGTGGCTTCACTCTATAGGGGCAAGTTTGACCTTTCTCAGTAATTATTGAATATGAAGGATGTTGGCACTGGGGTGTTTTGGGCTAAACATCGTTTTAGTGGCTCTTGGTACTTAGTTAGCCTCCAGTTGCAAACCTGTCAATGCAGTCACTTGTGTTGGGCTTTCAGGCACGAGGGCTCTGATGTGTTAACGGTGTCTCTTAACCTATGTGTGTGATATTAACAAGAACTTTATTGTCTTGTTCTTTTGAGTTTGTTTTTGAAGTAACTTTCACAGAGAATTCCTGTTGCCTAGAAATGGATGACAGACTTATACCATTTCCTCTTTTTTTCTTAGACGTTCCAACCTCAGAGCAGCCTGAACTGTTCCTAAAGAAACTTCAGCAGTGCTGTGTCATTTTTGACTTCATGGACACGCTATCTGATCTTAAAATGAAAGAATACAAGCGCTCCACTCTTAATGAACTGGTGGACTACATTACAATAAGCAGAGGCTGTCTGACAGAGCAGACTTACCCTGAAGTAGTTAGAATGGTGAGTTTCCTTTTTCGCCGCTGACACTTTAAGCATCTTCCGTAGCCACTCATGGGTGTATTGATTACAGTGAGGTCACCGAGGTCTCTTCCACAAACACAAGCCAACCTCCTGCGAGCTAAGTGCAAGCAGTCAGCACAGCACTAGGATCTGAAGAGCGTGATCTCGCGATGATGAAACCCACACCGTCCCACCGACCGCAGCGTGGAAGGAGTGACCTCAGAGCATCAAGCTGAGGGCCTGGGTGCCGTGGATCTCTGCAGAGATATGGGAGAATCAACCAGTTTTAGATCTGTTTTGAAATGATTCAAGCCTGTTGAGTATTTTAACTCCTGCTACTCCTTTGTCGTGGCATATTAGAAATGGCATTATACTTAATAAAATTATGGCTTAGAGAATCTAGTTAAGGCCTCTCTTGGCTTTATGATGAATCTTTCTCTTTGTAATTTCCTCGAAATCAGGAGTAATGCCTTTCGTGATGTTAGAACAATGGCACTGTGTGTGGTCCTTGGAATTACAGAAAGAAACATTATTTGTATAATGCAACCAAATGTGTTCTTACTGTGTCAGTAATTACATTAGCTTTTAAAAAAATTGAGCCAAAATCTGACTGTTAGGTTTCTGTGGTGTGGTTGCCTTCCTTAGCATCCTAGAAGATTATGGATTGAAAAGCTGTTGTTTTGGGGAGGAGGGTGAGGGGAATGGAGAAGGCAATGTAGCTACAGAGCTTCAAAAGGGGCTGAACATCCTCTGACAAGCCCAGTAGAGGAACAGGCACATGTAATGCCTGCTCAGCATTTGAGAAGGGCTTTGAAAAACCAGCTTGTAAGAGTGATTGGTATGTAGCCATATGATTATATGTAGATCTGAGGAGGAATGAAAGAATAGATATATATGACATTAAATACATGTATGTGTATTGGATTTGTTACTGACTTACAGGGATGTATTATCAAGGGTGTTTTGTAAGTTAACTGTTAGCACTGTTGCTTCTTAGTGCTTTTCAGCAAAGAGCACTTACGCCTCAGAGGGGACTTTTGGCAATGTCCAGAGCTGTTTCTGTTAGTCATGACTGTTTGGGAAGGGAGTACTTCCAACATCTACTGGGTAGAGGTCACAAGTGTGATGCTGAGCATTTTTAAAGAGGGCAAGAAAGCTCACACAAGAAAAGTTGACCGAGTCCCAGATCTCAGCAGTTACTGTTGGACAACCCTGCTTCTGAGTATATGCTCTCTTAATCTCCCAGCCAAACACATAGCGTCTTCTCTTGCCCACTTCTGCTCTGCAGAGCATTTGGTGTTAGCTTACCTACGTGTTTAGAGATAGGCACTTTATAGCTTTCTTCTATGACCCTCTCTGAGGATAGAAGCATATCTCAGTGTATTTGCATTGTTTTGTAAATGGTGTGCTGTACACTTTCTGTACATTCATTCTTTTACTTAGCAGTTCTTCAGTACGTATGAAGCTGCGTTGTTTTATAGCTACCCATTATTTCATTGTATGAATATATTGTGTTTAACCATTAGCCTACAGACGTCTTTGCAAACCCATTAGTTTATCTTTTTATAAGAATATTTCCCATTTGCCCCAGTTTTAATTCATGAGTGTCCTCTGCTATCACCATCCCAAATGGCACATTTTAAATTGATGCAACTGCTCTGGAACATTGTAATTACCCAGAACCTGTAGTTTATTTTAGGGTTCATATTTGGTGCTGTGCATTCTTGGATTTGGATAAAAGTCTCATGACATAGATATACCATGATAATATCAGACAGAGTAGCTTCATGCTGCCATTGCTCTCTTCAGAACCAGTGACCTTGTCGCTGTCTTCATAGTGCTTTTCTAAGACACAGTAGGTGCCCTTTTCATATTGCCTTCTTCCATTTCGTTTCCTTCATGGCTTTTCACTCTTGTTTTGATTTTTCAGATGGGGTTGAATAGAGCACAGGCTAGCCTGGAAATTGTTAAATAGCCTAGGCTGATCTTGAACTCTCAGCAGTCCTGCATCAGTGTCCCTAGTGCTGGGGTTGCATATGCCAACCACCATACCCGGTCACTTCATTCTTATTAGTGCTCATTAATACTCCATTGTGTGAATGCACCACAACATTTTAATTGTCCTAGTAAGTATCTTAGTTCCATCTACATTCTGGCAGTTATAAGTAAAGCACCTCTGGAAATATGTGCACACTTGTGTGAGGCATACAGTTTCAACTCATTTGGATAGATAGTGAGGACTGCAATTCCTGGGTCTTGCCATGAATATTTTGAAAGTCACTGCCAAACTAACTTCCAGTGTGCCTGTACTATTTGACTTCTTACCAGAAATGAGAGCTCCATTGCTCTATATTTTTATCAGTTTTTGATCTTCCTCCTTTCCCATTTCATTCCTTCCTGTAGGGTTTGTCCTCTTAATTCTAATTCTCATTTTCCTCAAAAGGCTGGCTTACAGTGGGCCACACCATTTCTGACAGGCCCAGTAATTCTCCTTCCTTCAGTTCCACTGCTTTTTGGCAGCACGCTCTTGTGGAATATGCTGCTTTTCTGCCACACATGCATCTAAGTTTTCCAGTTAAGAGATAAGTACCCCAGAGAGGAATTGTCCTGAATATCTTAATAGTCCCTAGAATGCTTCCTAACTGAGCCTGATTTCAGGTTCTGAAATTATGGCAAGGATACTCTTGTCATTTAACTATATTGAGTCATTAAACCTAGTATTTAGCATAATGGGAAAGTTCTTCCATTTTTGTGAATCAGCTTATCCTCAACCAGCTTTAGTCTCCTAAGAGAGTTCATTGTTCCCTTTGCCCTATAAGCCATTTATATTTGCTTTAAGACATTGGCAGCTTTGAATATACAGTATGCTACAGCATGCATACTGTTCTAGAATACTTAAAGTCAGCTTTATGTATAGTGCTCAGATGTATATTCATTTTATATGTAATTTGTTAGCTATTAATTTGCTATGGTACTTATACAATCTGGGCTATTTATAGAATTTATGATAGAACAGAAAGTGGACCCTCCTGGGCCCAAGAGCCATTTTTGGCCATACTCCCTTACTTTAGCACTATGAATTACTCCTCTTTGGGCTCCTCAGTTTTATATGGTACTGAGAGGTCTACCTAAATATGTGACTGTGTGTGTGCATGATAGCAGTGTGCTTACTGCTTTGTAAGAAAGCTTGGAACCAATAGCTACCTTGATGCCCACCCCCCTCCCCATGCCCTTCTTATTTCACCACCTCGCAGGGCCCTCTGTGTACAAATTGTGGTATTGCTTATCTCCTTGTGTCATAACTCTTGGAGGGAGAGAGGGTTGTGAAGATAGCAATAATGTAGGCAAATCTCTTAGAATAGTCTGTAGCACATGGCAAATGTTTAGTAAATAGCATTGTTATGTTTTACCATTAGATACTTTAGTTTGCATGGTTCCAGTTTGTACATTTTACATTCTCTATCATCTAGATGTATTCTGTTTCACTGCCTCAGTTTTTTTTTCAAATTCTGATTCTCAAGGATGATTCTGCCTGGTGAGTAGTCACTGTCTACTTCACTGGGATGAGGAAGTGGTAGTGTTTTTAATGAAATGCTAACTGGGATTTGAAAATAAGGCTGAGTACTGAGTCAGAGTGAAATGGCAAAGTGTCAGCTTCAATACTAAAAGCTCATCCAGCCTGTTGGGACCTGTACTTGGAGAGTTGGTTTTCTTGTGAGGGGCAATGTAGCAGAAAGAAAGGTATGAATTTGGAAAGTTACTTTTACTGTCTAAGCTAAGTCTGGGCACCACCACCCACAGGCTACTTGAATGAAAGAAAAATCTTTTATATGTAAATACAATCAACAACAACATAACATACAATTTATCTTTAGGAGAAGAGAATAGTTACAGTGGAGAGAGCCCTGGGGAGAGCATGTGGAAGTTACTGTCCTTATTACTCATCTTAGCAGTGATGAGACATTGGTAGCTCATTTCTTTTCCAAGCTTCAGTTTGTCCTGTTGTTAATCTAGCTGATACCTCAGGCGCTTCCAGTTCTGAAATGAATGACTGTTGACCAACACTGTTCAAGTTATTTAGAATGGCTTTCTCAAGGTTTTACCTTCCAAAGCAGTTTCTTACTTAGGTAAGTGGCTTGTTTTGTAATTGTGTGGTGTCTTCTCTATTGGAAAAAGCTGTCAGGACTTTCCGTTGCTTTGGGCCTTGCTGTATTCTTCTCTGCATTGTCTCTAGGTTCAAGCTTTGTCTTTATGGCACACACACACACACATACCACACCACACCACATTCTACTAATACTATCTTTTTGTTCTGTTGCATGTATCCATTTGAAATATTTCTTAGAATTTTTTGGTCTTCAAATAACCCATTCATTTTTGTTACCTGAATTTGAACTCCATTTTGTAGTCTTTGTATTTGCATATATTTTCTAAAAACAGTTCATTTGAGGGTACTCCAAAATGTGAGATGTAGTTTTGTTGGTAAAAGCATTGGCTTTGTTAATTCTAGGTAGACTTGTTAATTCTAGAATGACTTAATGTCATGATTTTACTTTAAAAAGAATTGGTGTTGTTGAGTGTCAGTCCTTATTATATCTGGATTAATATATCTGGATGAACATTCCAGCACTGAGCTATACTCCCAGCCTTTGGTTAGTTTGTGTTGAGATAGGACTTCGGTGTGTAGTGTAGACTGGCCAAGGACTTACTCTGTAGCCCAAGCCAGTCTCAGTTGGTGATCTCCCTGCCTTAGCTTCTTCCCAAATGCCAGGATTATGTACATGTTGCCACCATATCCAGCTCATACGCTTGTGCTTTGATGACTGAAAAGATGGTTGTTTTCTGCCAAGAAAGTATAAAGTGAACAAATTAAAAGATGTCATACTAATAAAATTATATATTAGGTAAGGAAGAGAGAAGCTTAGGTAGGGTGGTTATGGCAGACTATCCAGAATGAGGAAAGCCTTAATAGAGTATAAATGTTTTTGTAGGTGGCTGAA